CTGATTTTAATTTTTTCGAAATCCCTAGAATATCCCTTATAAACAATATTTCCCATCCAAAGCTTGTGAGTCACGCTCCCATCTTTAAAGCACCCAGCTCATATGCATGTCGAGGTCCCAGAGTCATCAGCCAAAGGAGCTGGAGTGGGCGGTGGCAGGGTTGGTGGAAGGGGTGCTGGCGCGGTCTGTGGCAGATGTAGAGGAAGAGTCTGGGGTGGAGACTGCGGCAGCTTCAACTCTGCGGCTGCCTTACAACGTCATCAGTTTTTGAAGGCGTTTCCAAAGAGCAACCGCCGAACGGGCGAACCGGCGAAGCGGCGACTGTGGGAACTCATGTTGCATGCTGCACACATACAACTCACTGCTTTCCCTGCTGGCCCCTTGCCCCGGAAAGCGGCCACCGCATCTGCATCCGAATCCGAATCCATACCGAACCGAGTCGATATCGTGCCTCTGAAATCTGCATTTTGGCCGAAGCCCAGCTCCATCTTGAACCCCGACTCCCGGCTCCGGCTTCGGTTTCGGGTTGAGAGCCTTCCGAGCCCAACTAGTTTGCATTTCTTTCCGCCGAGCTCTCGACAGATTGGCTGGCGTAATCTGTTTTAAAGTTGGCCCAAACCGACTCAAGCCACTTTCCACTTGATGGCTGCTGACGGTAGTCGTGCTTTGGTTATAAAAATTGAAGCCGCCATTAAATTCTGACAGTTGTCAGCTCAAGGAGGTCTCGGCTGAAGCCTGCTGCTGGCCGCGAAAGTTCGGCTAAGTAGTGAGGTAACTGGGTTCGACTTAATGGATACTGTACTTGGGTAAATGGCTGATGATCGTCTGTGGCCGTGGATTTGGTTACATGAGAAGGAGAATACTAGAACGGGGTGGCAGGCTATTTGTAACTCCAGAGCCTAACTGGGCATTTAGTCGGTAATGGCTCTGCAGACTAATGGCCTAATGGGATAACGAATCCAACTTTAATGCCTGGCCTATCAAAAATTGTGCAAAAAACATTCATAATTTATATTTGATCGATGATTCGGCGATTACCGAGTCTATTTTAATAAAATTAATAAATTACCAGTTCAGTGATAGAAGTACTCAACGATAACTGATCGTTGGTATTGATAACAAAATGTTAACTTTAAATTAAAGTGTGGGTTATATTATTTTAGAGAATAGAGAAATTTACCATTTAAATTATTTACTTTATAATAAGCTAAAAGCCCTGCGATTATTTATAATATTTAATTAATTGATAGTCAAGAAATACTATAAGCTCAGATCGCACTTAAATTTGCTTATAAGCAGATTATTTGTATTTAAAATGTAAATAAGTCTTATCTAAATTAGTTTAGATAATGTAGTTATGCATATTATTATGAATAATATAATAGTGTTATTGTAAAGTAACCAGAATACCCAACTATAGAGCTTTACAATACCTTCCTTAGGAAAACACCTTTTGTAAGCTTTTCAGGTAGCAATCAGAGCTATCAGTCACCTGGCAGCCGTTCTTGATGAGTTCAAATTGCTACTGCACTCTCCGCAGACAGGGGAACCCATCTTCATTTATCATTTTCAATAATAATCAAAAGCCTTCAAAAGCGATGAATGAAACCGAAAAGGCGTCCGCGTCTCCCAGACAAAAGCTGACAGACTGCAATCAAGGTGGAGCCGAACAAAAGATGCTGCTGGAGAATTTCCGACCGGCGGGGTTATTAAAAAAGAATTTGCATAAAAGACAAGCCGGGGCACGGGCGAAACCACAAGGATTAAGCAATAAATAACTGGGTGGCGGGGAAAGGGCTGGAAATGCCAAGTGGTTAATTTTCTATGAAATTATATTCAAATTAGTTTGATGTTGCCGGCAGATGCTCAAAACTTTGCTGTGCAAATGGCATAATTATGGGATAGACACAAAGCACTTCGGATCACTGCAAGGGCACTTGAAATTATGCTAAAATGCCAAACGGCGAGGAGGTGTGACCAAGCTGGTGGCACAAAGCGGGGCTTGACTGTGGCTCCGCTCATCAATTATCCACGTGCTTACAGGGGCCAGCAATTTGTTAGATGTCGGTGGGGCTGGTGCGGCCTGTGGGTTGGCCCAGAAGCTCTGGGGAGAGGCGATTCGCTTTTGACACCTCTGACGTGATTATAACACTTTTATGCTTGACTATTAATGATTCTTCTACCCAATAGATGCACTAGAGGCAAGAAAATGCAACATGTAGAGGTATTTTCTTGTATATTTCTTGTTACGTTTAACCATTAATCTAATGGTTTCTCACGAAATGTTTCTCTAAATTAAAGACACAATCCTTTTTAAATGTATTTAACAAGAAAATAAAAAAAAATGTGTTGGGAAACGCTTTTACTATGCTTCCTCAGTTAAAATGTAAATATTTCCAATACTTTTTTAAATGTATGCCCTCGCAACTCAATAATATATTTTTAAAGCAATTTAAAATAAAACAAGAAAGGAAAGCTAACTTCGGACGGAGCCGAAGTTTATACACCCTTGCAGTTAAAACCGGATATATATCGCAAACATCGGATATAGTTGGCCGATCCTTATGATTATGATTTATCATAATAAAACCAATTAATTACAATAAAAAATCTAAAAAAAAGTCCCAAGCTTCTATCTTCAAAAATACGAAAGTTGATATTTCTACCAAATACCATTTCCGATCGTTCAGTTATATGGCAGCTATAGGATATAGTCGGCCGATCCTTATGAAATTTCGTAGGTCGGATTAACTGACCAAAAATATAATCTGTACCAAATTCCAGCTTTCTATCTTCAAAAACACGAAAGTTGGGTCATTTCCGATCGTTCAGTTATATGGCAGCTATAAGATATAGTCGGCCGATCCTTATGAAATTTGGCATGTCGTAATTTGTTGCCAAAAATAGCTCTCATGTCAAATTTGAAATCTCTAACTCTAAAAACACCAAAGTTATACCATTTCCGATCAATCAGTTATATGGCAGCTATAGGATATAGTCGGCCGATCCAGGCCGTTCCGACTTATATACTGCGTGCAAAGGAAAGAAGGGTGTGTGCAAAGTTTCAAGACGATAGCTTTAAAACTGAGAGACTAGTTCGCGTAGAAACAGACAGACGGACAGACAGACGGACAGACAGACGGACAGACAGACGGACAGACGGACAGACGGACAGACGGACATGCTCATATCAACTCAGGAGGTGATCCTGATCAAGAATATATATACTTTATAGGGTCGGAGATGTCTCCTTCACTGCGTTGCACACTTTTGACCAAAATTATAATACCCTCTGCAAGGGTATAATGAATAAATTCACACATATACACATATAAAATGTATTTTTATAAAATATATAAAAATATATGTATTTTACAAAAAAACCTCTATATTTTGGAATGACTTTCTTAATCAACTTTGTTCAAAAAACACTTCTACTAAAAAATTTGATTTTTCGACATGAAATACTGATTTACCGAGTAAATAATCTTATATTCGATCACATTCCTAAAACTATATCGAATTATTACTATTACAGATATAATAAGAGATACAAGAAATCTTTAAAATAATAAAAGCCAAAAAACCGTTTAAAATTTGACCCAAAAAAAAGTTTAAGAATATTCGCAAAAATATATAAAAAATGTTCCCTAATCTTTATTTAAATTTATTTATTATATTATATTATTCCTTTTTGTAAAATTGAACATGCATTTATTAATTAAAACCTAGTTTACCAGCAAAACTTGCCTTCAAGCATTAATTGTGATTTCCATAATGCCCGGCAAAAACCAAATTTAATTGCTCTACATGCGATTTTGTTTCCTGAGCCACAGGGCCATGTTTATTTTCTCAGACCGAGTCACTTATGAGCGGGCAAATATTCAAAACTCGGCCATAGAACTCTTTCGGGCCGGCTGCCGCAAAGGGCACATCAAATGTAGCACAGAAATACTATAAATATTGCGTGCAGACACCAGACAATTTTGTGAAAAGCAAACTAAGAGATACAAAAAATAAATAAAAAGCGAACAGAAGTCGGGCAGGGAGACGGCCACTGACGATTGGCTGATGAGAGGGCGCTACGATGATGGTAATGTTGCGCCTGATGATGATGTTTAGGTCCGGTCTTTGGTCTTTGGGAGTGAAGTGCAGTGCAGCAGGCAGCAACGTGTCTGCTGATGAGGCTAATGATATGAAAATGAGTCCGAGCCCCAGATGACACGAAAGTGTGAGGAGCGAGCAGCACAAAGTTCGGCTCGGGGAGCAGAGGTGGAGGTTGGGGCTATAGCGTATACCATACAGCATAATCATTTCATTTTATGAATGGAGCAGAGACCGCATAATAAATCAAAAGACACACACGTTGCCAAAACGAACAAAGACGAGCCGAGCTCGAAAACCGAGCGTGATCGGGGCAGGAAATGGAAATGAGCTTGCATTATCAAAACGGCGAGGTGTGGATAAAGAGCGATCCTATGGAAAACAGAATTCCATATATTAATAGTATTTGTAATGAGTTATAATAGCGTCGGTATATGGTATTCCTATACCAGAGATATTAGTTAGCAACTCAATATCGAGGTATAAACAAAAAAGACATCAAAGTTTTTCAAAATTTTACGAAGAAAATATATTACCGAGCCTTGTGCTATTGTATAGATAGTATTGTTTTAAAGCTCCAACTTACAATAATATTTTATAATGTAAATACATTTTGTTTTTAATACTAAACAAAATTCTTCATATTGAGGAGTTTTTCTTAGAATTTTCTCCTCCTTAGAAAATAAATTAGTATAATATATAGCTCATATTAATAGAAAATCATAAAGCGTATAAATGAGCTTATTAAATGTATCTAACTATACCTTTACCTATAAGAGACCTATTATTTATAACTTTATTTAACCAAACCTAAGTTACAACCAAGCCCAAAACATTACAATCCCCCCTCGATCGTGGCTGCAGCTGCCAAAATAATCATAAAACATCAAACTCACCGACTGCACTTTGCATGTTGTTGCTGATGTTGCTGCCGTCGTCATCGTCCTCGTCATTTTCGTCATGAATTGTTGCTGCTGCTGTCGCAACGTGTGCTGCCTTTGTAGGCGCCTGCAATGTTGCGGATATCGTTGCTGCTGCAGTTGTCGCTGGTGTCGGGAGTGTTGCTGCTGCCATTGTGGCCTCGGGCAGAGCATCATTTTGCTGTAATGCGACTAATGAGGCGGCAAAATTGACGTGTTGCTGCGGCGTAAAGTTAAAGACCGATGTTGCAGCAGCCGCTGATTGAGTTGTTGGCTCGTTTTTAATTGTTGCCGCCGTATGCTGTTGTTGTTGCTGCTGCTGCTGCCAGTACTCGGCGGCTATCAAATGCTGAAGACTCTGGGTAGGCAAATGCTGGCCAAACAGATTGCTCAGGTGTTGCAGCGGCGAGCTGCTAGCAACATGTTGCTGCAAGAATTGCTGCTGCAGCAGCAACTGCTGATGATGATGCTGCTGCTGGTGCTGGGGCTGCTGCTGCTGATGCGGATGATGATGCGAATGATGATGATTGTGGTGCGGATGATGGTAGAGCAGTGTGGATGCTGCCACGCTATCGGTGGCCTCGCCATTGATTTTGTATTTCGAAGTTGTTGTTGGCGTTGACATTGTTAGTGCTTCCGCTGTGAACAGCTGTCGCTCGTTGCTGTTGTCGCTATAGTTGTCGTTGTGGTTGCTGATACTGTTGCTGGTGTTGCTGGCCCGATTTGTGGTATTGCAATGGCTTTTGTATTCAAGTAACATGCCGTTTCTGCTAGCAGCCCGCTGGCGATGTTGTTGTAGTTGCTGCTGATAGTAGTTTGCTAGCAACAATGGCATAATCAATGTTTACGGCTAACTGTTCCAACAGCAGCAACATACATGGGCGGTAATCACTTCGCGCGTTCAGCCAGCCGATAGCAGATCCAAAATGGTTCTCCCTTGCTGCGACGAGCAAGCACCAATTCTCTGATTAGCCAGCTGATAGCCGCTAAGTTGGTCAAGTGGTCAAGTGGCCCAAAGGCTGGTCTCTGCAATTAGGCAAAGAAGATTAATTAGCCGTGAAGTAAGGGTGTGTCGCGGTGGGGGAAGCACAACCAAGAGAGCCATAAATTATCGCAGACGAATTTATTGTCATGGTAATTGTAAAAATCAAATCCCTTTCCGGAAAGAAAATTCTAGCAAAGCCAAAGTCGCAACAATTAGAAATTCAAAGACTCAAATCGCATTTTCAGCTTACCCTTCAGCCTACGGCCCAGGGAAGGAAATTTATGCAAACTCATCACCTCGCACGCAAAGTATAATGGACATGTGAACTTGTTTATCTGCAGGTTGAAAGCCGAGCTTCTTCACTCCGGTTCTTCACTCATTCTTCATTTTTCGTTTCTTTCTCTTTTTTGTCATTTTAATTAGTTCAATTTCAGCTTATGTTATTTTGGTTAAATCTAGCCTCGTTGCCTTAAAATTTCACTCGGCACAGGCGACTAGAGCAATAACATGACAGAGCTGGAAATTAAAGCCCAAAAGTGACAACTCATGATTACCTTGGTTTTGCTTATCAGACAGCTGGGAAGTGGGGGGCAGAAGGGTGGTGATCGAGTGGAGTAACCCCACCTAGGTAAGATCAGGTGAAGAGTAGCTGGGAAATCTAACTAAATATTAAATATATTCATAGACTGTCAAAAAAATCGAATGTAAGGACACTAGACCTTAAATTAAGGACATTTATATCATTTACATTTTATTTTTTTATTTACAGAAAGTTTTGTATTTCAGTGTAGCAATTGATATCAAAACTTACTCCCCACATTCTTGGAGCATTAAACTCCACTCGGCAGTCGAACTCGGCTTCGAAACGAGCACATTAATACAACTGACTCCGATCTGCGGCCATCTCATAATTACAAGTCATCTACCTGATGTTTTTGACCATTTAAGCCACAAACGAAGAAGCTGCCCGGCTTCAATAGACGAAACAGTAGCCCGGGTACGGGGGCGGGGGCAATCATATAAAAATAAAATAATAATCCGACAATAAACACCGACAGAAACAAATTTCCATTCATGTGTAGTGGAGCCTAAACACGCATAATTGCTAATGCCATTTAAATGTGCGTACAGTTCTCCGGAGATCCAATAACAAAAACTGATGTTTCGCCCAAGTCATGTTCTTTTATTAAAGATCCAGATCTAGATCCGACTGCAGCGGAAATGCCGAAAGTGACGCGGCCGATTTCTTCCGTACCATTGTTGAATATTTTCAAAAATGTTACCCTTTAAGCGTATTACGAAATGCGTTCTGGTAGGAAAATGAGAACAAGCCGGCCATACCAACTATTTACAGTTTAAGAAGCAGATAGAGTGACAAAACTATGTCAGTTATTTTGGGGAGTTTTAATGGGAAATCATGAATGTCTGCCATTTAGTGGCCATGAATTAAAGGTGATTGTGAAATTATGCAAGCACAGGATCGCCTGACTGGAGTGGTCTGTTTAACTAGTTCCTCGAATATTTGAATGAAAATAACTTAAAACGCATTCAGTATTTGCCTTGCAGGTTGCAAATATTTTGGTTTCAGGCGATTCATACCTCTGTGCAAACACTGATAAGATGCCCGGGACAGGTCTGCCCCTACATATGAATATGACCTTTAGCCGAGTCGTTGGCTTACAATGCCTCGGCACTCATAGAAGGAGTGACAGCTCAACCTCCGCGAATAATATTTCTTGGGAACCTTTTGCCTTACTTGCTAATCAGTTTCGGGAAGGGCTTTAGGTAGTCAGATGTGTGTAGATAAACATAAATAAAAAATTGTCAATTAATAGAAGTATATTTTCAGCTGGAGGACTTAAAATGCTAATAGAAGTTTAGTTCTCCAGATCCGCGTACTAGCGGAAATTCAAAATTAATTACATTTAATGCATAACCAAATAAAAGAGGTGTCCCATCGATTTCTGTCAGCCCCGTAATATCGAAGTGGGTCTAAATTTTGTTCCCATTTATGAATAATGGGCGCCATTCGTAAAGTGCCAACTAGAGATTTCCTGGCTCAAGACGACTTATTGGAAAGAACCGGAAAATTAAGCCCAGAATGTTAAAGACTGAATAAAACAATTTGCGACTTACCAACTAAGACAAATTAAACCCAAATGCAGCTTAATTATAATAAATATGTTACCGATTGGCCTGTCGCCGAGTTCCCAATTCATAATTCTAAGCAAACTGTTTGCCTTTCTATCTAGACATCATTGGTGGGCATGTTTTTACACTTTTGGCACTTGGGTCTGGCTTGACTCATTTTCATTTTCATTTAATGGTATCGCCCGGTACTATCTTGATAACCGTCGTGTTTATCGTCAGCCAGGTCTTAGTGTAATTGACTAATGAATGCCATTCATTGTTGCCTGTTTTTCCAAACTTGTGACAAATTTTATTTATTGTTACATAGGTATTGTTTTTCATACAATTGCCATGAACATGCAATTATCAAGTGGTAGGCACTGATCGATTTATTAAAGAACCATACCAGTTAGTCCGTGAAAATGGCCAACAAAGGGGAAAAACAGAATTCAAAACAAGTCAAGATCTATAAAAATGGCAATAGTTCTCGGAACTGCTATATTGGCAATAGACTGATTTTTAGATAACAAAATGCACATTGTAAAGTTTATATTATTTAGCTCTTAATTTATGACAGTTAAATACAAATATTGATAGGAAGTAAAGGATTAGAAGGGAGACCTACAACTGAGGATACTTTAAATTTCAATAGATAATAAAAGTTACTGCCTCTGAAGCTAATGCAGTTTGAGATTGAAATATAACCGATTACGTGGTCGGGGCTCCTCGAAATCTTTCACCCTTAACAACTGATTAACACTTGAGCCACTAAGTACTATCGTACTGGACCTAACCTAACCCAAAATCAACGCCTCGAGGCGAGTAACCGGATCGAACCGATTCCCAAGATTGCAAAATGTGAAACGTGTTAAACGCGAAACAAGCCCCCCCTGAACTTTGTCCAGGCCCAAAATCAGCCCATACTCCTACATGGACACATAGATTCCATTGTTTGTTCTTGTAGAAAGAATCGTCAAAAGAATTCCTAGAACTGTGGCACTTACCTCACCGCCGAGCGCTCAAGTGACCACTGAAGTGAGCTCAAGTGGAGGGCACAATAAACGAAATCAGGTGAATTTAATAAACTCTAATCACAGGCCTTCAACTTATTTGTTAATTTTGCAAATTATATTTTATTGAGTCGTTCCTATCGCTCATCCGATTATATGGAGTAATTTACGAAGCAGGCATTTGTGGTGGGGGTGGCGGTATAAGGACTCCTTCGAGAAGCTCTGTATATCTCCGTCGACGAAATCAATATTCTTATCGACTGCTGACTCGTTATTTTGCCAAGTCAAATTTTGAGACTATATAACGATAGTGATTCATATACCATTTGGCATATGTAAATTAAATACATATGGATAAGAAATAAATAGGAGTCTAGATAAGATTTCAAGTAAATAATTGGTAGCTTGTTTAGGTAAAACAATGAGTTGCATTAGACACATATAGATTTTCTAGAAAGAGTTTTTGGATTTTATAATTATTTTATAGATTATAGATGGACATTGCCCTTCTAAGAACTATTCACGCGATAACCTCGATGCATTATTTTATTAAGCTATTAAAACTTGATCAAGATAGATATCATAACATGAAGGGCATCAAGGTGTCACCAAGTTTCGAACTGATACCCATCCAATTGATTAGTTTCTTGTGGGCCCTGGGCAAATGGCATCGTCAAACACGTCAGCGATGATATGCAAAGTGCTGAATTTGGTTGAAGTGCCAGGTGTGGACTTTATCTCACCAGACTATTACCTTTGGCTCACTTGCCTGGCGGTCTGACGGCCTGCCAGAGTGACAGCCTGCCAGCCTGCCAAGCAGCCAAGTGTCTGTATTTGTGCCGAGTGTCTTATCAGGACAGAACAAACAAATTGAACTCATTTTTCTTTCTCGAACAACAGCTTCGACGCAATTGTCGACACGAGTCTACATAGATACTCCAATAAGACCCGAGTTGTCTTGACTTGGCCGGGCTTAATCAGCGCGGTTCGGTTTGGAGAGCACCTTCCGAATATGGTAAATGGGAAAATGCAGTCAAGATAATGCTCCGCCGAGAAGGAAGCAGAAGAACGAGAAGCAGCAGCAGTCGGGTTCCATTCCATTTTTATCTAATTAGGCTAAGCAGGCACAACGCCACATCGCCACATACGAACAAATATTTATTATTGTACTGTAAAAATAATCAATCACTTGATCGTTACAGCAAATGGTAATGGTATCTGTATAGCTGTATCTCTGTACCTATATCTGTATCGGTGTAGTCGCCAGTCAGATAACGGCATTTAAATAAGAAAAGGGGAATGGAAAAACAAAAAGGAAATGCAGCTCCAACTTGTCCATAAGAGACACTTAAACTCGGAACGCTCCACAAGTGTTATGCTAATAAAACACATCGCAGCGATCGCCTCCTTATCAGTAGGGCAACAAAATATACGAGTGTATACAGATAAGGATATACACAATAAACAAATCGAGAGGCGACGATATTTAGGTATAAATCGATCGGTTCGCCTTACATTTGTTTAATGTATTTATTTCAATTTCAATATTATTTATCGCTCGTCGGTTCACCCCGGCGACATTGCGAAAGGTATACTGGTATTATCTTGAGCCGTGTGGCAGGGGGAGACGGGCACCACTTCAACTTAAAGAGTAAACTTTGATGCAGGTTCTGTTTACCCCCGGGCTTAAAATCAAGGAAACCCTTAACTCATGGAGTGAGGCGCCTCTTGCCTTGTTTATTAATAAAAATAAGACTAAACATCATATCCACTTGGAAAGTGATACGGATTTGTATTTTCCCTAGAGCCTTGTGATTTTTTCAATCGTTGTTTTTGACGGAAAAATGTTGATTAACAAAATCAGGTGGCATTG